TATAGAAAAAGTCAAACTGTCTTGGTGAAGCACTTCCTTTGAAAATGAAAAAGAAACAGATGATCAGATTACATTGCTTAATTGTTTTTATATTAAATTAATCCTGAGAACTTTCTTCCAGAGTGTTTGTAACCTCAAATTAATCTCCCCTTCTTCGTCAACCTTACTGCCCTCAATTTAATAGCACTGTTTACTAATGTGACATAGCAAAATTTCCAGAAGGTTTCTTTGATCTTGGGGAATCCCGATGAATACGACTGAGCCGTGGAGGGATGGAGGAGGATGGGGAGAAGGCAAAGGAAGAGGAGCAGCCCACCTCGGTGCGCAGCCCCTGCCCACGGCCTCTGTGAAGCCCTCTTTCCCACCGTGCCCACCGCGGTCCTGTAAGTGGGGGTGGGGGTGTGTGGGAGCGGCTAGGATTGGCTCCCAAGAGCCAACGAGGTGCATCTCTTCCCAGTTCCACACTCAAGGACCCGACATTGAAGACCTAAAATTAGCTAGTGACAGTATTTGCACCACAGAAACTGGCCAACCAGAGAGCTTGTTTGTTACACATTTACTTGCACATCAGCGAGTAGGGACTCTGTTTCGCGAGGCTCCTATGCTTGGAGAGGTAACAAGCCACGCGACCTGACCCCATCCACTCCAGCCCAGACCCTTCTGAGGCAATCGTCCATGACCTGAACTATTAGAGAGAGGAAAGGAGTATCAAACATGCTGGGGTTCTAAGAGCCAGAAGTTTGGGACAAAAGGGTGTGCTCTCCCCTGAGTGACTGTCTCTCCTGAGTGCTGTTTCCTTAGCTGAGATGAGAGGTAAGCCCCCTGTGAGCGCTTGACAAGCTCTCCTAAAAATCCTCTGTGCAAGCAAATGGGCTGTGTGGGTGTCCTGGCGCCCCTGGACTCTGGGGAATAAAACCACGCCTACTTCTTGCAGGGAACAGATGAGCGGGAAGGGTGTATGCGTGCATAGAGGGCAAGATGCAGCAAGCACCGTATTTATATAACATGAGGACTACCTCTAGAGGAGCAATGAAAACCACTCCAACTGGGTATGTGGCCCCGTACCAGTGATGGATGGGGTATTTAGCTGTTGCCTATGTTCACCTTCTGACTGTGGTGGGTCCAGCCTGGGGGTGTGTGTGTCAGGGGCAGATGCTGGCAGCCCTCTGGTCAGCAGTGTTCTTGTGGCCATGGCTTGAGCATCTGGGATCGGCTGCACAGGGATATTCTTGGGGAAGCCACCTGAACGCAGGAACCCAATTCATCCTGGAGCAGGATGAGTAATGGCCCTCAAATTTACCAGGTCCTAATCCCTAGAAACAGCAAATGTTTCTCTATATGGAAAACAGTCTTTATGGGTATGGTTAAGTTAATGATCTTGAGATGGGATATTGTTCTGAACTATTCAGGTGGGCCCTAAATACAATCGCAAGTGCCCTTGTAAGAGGGAGGCAAAGGGAGATTTGACATGGAAAAGGAGAAGGTAATGTGACCACAGAGGCAGAGACTGGACTGAGTGGCCGCAAGCCAAGGAATGCTGGCGGCCACTGGAAGCTAGAAGAGGCAAGGGACAGAATCTCCCCTTGGAACTTCCAGAAAACATGGGACCCTGCTGGCACCTTGATTCCAGAGTCAGTCAAGCTGAATTTTGGGTTTCTAGTCTTCAGAACTATGAGGAAATAAATTTATGTTGTTTTAAGCCAGCAGGTTTGTGGTAATTTGTCATAGCAGCCAGGGGAAACTAAGACTCCAACTAAGGCACAAGGTGATGAATTTGGGGCAAGGGCTTTACCTTCTAGCAAAACCTGAGAATTCTCTAATTCTTCACAGTTTAGTCTTTTTCCCCCACCTCATAGATGACTAACTGTAGTAGTGGAGGTCAGGGAAGATTGAAGAATTCATGGGTGGGAAGTACAATCCTTTTTGTCAAAAATCCATGCATGCATGGCCCATGGTGCCACGGCCTGTGTATGCCGTGCCCTCAGCCCATCACCACCTTCTTTCTGCAGAGCTCATTCCGTCTCCTCTTGGGCAAGTCAGTACCTGGTGGACCCTGCTGTCTGAGCTCGGGACCCGCCACCAGGCAACATCGGGAGTGAGGCAGCTGGGAGCAGGCGCCTGCACCTTCATCCCTGGGCCACCGTGCTCTATTCAGAAATAGGAACTCAGGGCTGCTCATCTTTTGTTTTTTTCAAGAGATGTCGAAAATTTCACCCACTTTTGTGAAATCTCCCAATATTGTAATTTGGCAACTAATTTTAGAAATACAGCTCTCACATTGTGCATCGCACAAAAGGATGGCAGCCAGCAGGGCACGAGTCCACAGGCTGCAGCTTGTGCCCAAGGTCTTCCTCATTTGGCAGCATTTACCCCAGGGGTCACTCCACCTCTGGACTGTCCCCAACAACCTGGTCCTGCTCTGAGGGGAGGATCGCGCCCACATGGCCCCAGGGCCTGGAGACCACAGGGCCTCTCCCAGAGCAGTTAGTCACTGGTGGCTGAGTGAAGGAGGGGAGCAGGGAAGGAAGGAGGGAGAGAGGGAATGTAGTAACCTTTCTATTGGGAGCAAGTCAGCAAAATGGCGGCAGCTCTCAGATGTTACCGAAGCCAGCTGTGAGTGCCCTGGTGTCATTTCAGCTAAACTCTCAGTGCAGTAAAACTCTGTGGTCACCTGCTAGAGTGCAGAGGATCAACTAGCTGGGCCTAGCTTTCTGTGGGCAGAGTAGGAAGACACCAAGAGCAAGAGCCAGTATAGCATGGTGACCAGCAACTGACCAGGAAAGGCCTTCAGCTCAACCATGCTACCCGGTGGGTACATCCCCAGAGATCTGCGCTCTGAGGTGGCTTCAAGGTGGCAGACCTCAGCGGTGCTGCAGCCAGCCCAGAAAAATGACTTGGAACAACTGCTCAGACACAGGTGTGCATGGACCTCTCTAGTCCTCAATTTCCCCAAGAGTAAAGAGGTCCCAAAAATAAAGTAAAAAGATAAGTGGTTTATTCCATGAGCACTTTCACAATTTTTCCTGTATCCTGGTACCAAATGCACAATCATTTCTTCAATATTTTCCTACCAAACTGACTAAATTTTAAAAAATGTAAATGAATTCATTACAAAATAATAAAATCATAAAAGGAAAACCAGCATCACTTATATATACACAGATCATAACTCCCCCAAAAAACCCCACCAACACCAGGACAGCGTGTTCAATTCTAGCCACCGTGGCTGTGAGTTCTGAGCCTGGACACCTCTGTGCAGAGGTGCCTGGCAAGTGTCCAGAGGGATGTAAAAGGCACCCAGCTGAGACTCTCCCATGGCTACTCGAAAATGAAATAACTTTCCCACATGGGAATTCCCCATGACTCCCTGACTTCACTAAGGGCTGCAGGGTGTGTGCGGAGCCCTGGTGTGAGCACACAGGTAGTTACAGCTCAAAGCTCATCCTTTCCCTAGAGGACAAAAACATGTACAACCCTTTAAGAAAGCAGAACAAAACTTGAGGTTTTGAGAGTCAGAGACATCGCCTCCCTCCCCCAGGCTTGCAAAGACAGCAGAGAAAGCTGGATGCAAGTAGGAAGCTGGATGGAAAGCTGGGGACAGTTAGTGAAGGGGTGGGGGAGTGCACGGGCCTCTCTGGGGAGGAAGGACGGAAGCTGCACATCTGGTGGGGCACACTTCTCTGGGCCGGGGTCTCAGGGCACTAGGCTGGCTCTAAGGACACCAGCTGCTCCAGGGCCACGAATGCCACACTGAGGAGTTTGGAACCCAAAGGGCTTCTGGCAAAACTGCCACCTTTACCTCATTCTCCCAGAAACGCCTACAGGCGGCCCTATACTCTGCCAATGATGACCCAGAGTCCTGGGATTTTTGCTGAGGATTCAGGAATTTAAACTGATGCTCACTTGGGGGGTGGGGGGAGATGGGGGCTGCCGGCTCCTTGGCCAGTCGTTCCTTTCCAGCTTTTTCAGGAGCGGCTGGCCTCAGAATCAAGGCCTGTACAGAGCTTGGCCCAGGGCTCGCCACTGGCACAGCCCACCCGGCAGCCCTGCCCGAAGTCAGACAGAGGCCTTTCATGGCTTCAAAAGTTCCACCAGGTCCTCCAGCCACAGGAGGCTGGAATGGGTAACTGAATCCTACTCAAGGAAAAAAAAGGCACAGTGACCTTTTGTCCCAGCCGAAGTTCCCGGCCCTCTCCCCAGCCTGCGAAGTAAGAACCGCAGATGTGCGCGCACCGCCGCGCGCCCTCGCCACCGCCCCGCAGCCTGGCCGGACAGCGCCGGGTCGCGGCGGTATTCCGGACGCCCGGAGCCCAGCCCCGGACTCCGTCGCTCAGTTTCAGCCTGAGGCTCGGCCGTCATTGCTGCCTTTTCCCCGCGTCTCGCCAGAGCTCTTTCCCGCAGAGGCTGCAACGAGGACTCAACCCCTCTAGGGACAAGAGGTTCATTTTGGGACTCGAGGAGGACGCCAGGCCCTTCCCGAGCGCACCAGGGGCCGCTGCTGACGCCACAGGGGCGAGCCCGGCGGGCCGCTGGGAGGGCGCGGGTGGGATCGCCGCTCGTCCGTGCGCACGGTGGGCTGAGCGCAGGGCTGGAAGCCCCGCATCTGGGGTGCGCGAGCTGGCGCGTGGCCGGCCGCCTTTGTGGGCGACTTGGGGGCGTTTTCCTCACTGGCCATGGGGTGCGGTCACCTCTGCGCCGTGAGGAGCCAGGCCCGGGACAGGACCAACTCTCCGCGCCCCGCCCCCACAGGGTGGAGGCCGGTCGGGTCGCTCCCCACAAGTCCGAGACCGGTGCCGGGTATTCCCCTCCCCGTCGCCTCCCTGGGACACGCGCTCGCCGGCGGGGCCCAGGAGGACGCAAGCCTGGCCGGCGAAAGCCCCTGGGTCGGGGACCGGACAGATCAACGCCCCCACACCGCCGCCCCCTGGTCCCCGGCGAGTGGCTCTCGGGCCCAGGAGCTGAGAGGCTAGGGCGCGGGAAGGGGCGGTCGCCTCACTCACCGCACATGGCGGCTGCTGCGTGTGCCCTCGCGGCTCTGGGCTCTGCGCGCGGCGAAACCTCAGAACTCGGCGCGCCGGGCGCTCGGCGGACCCTGCTCGTCTGGCCGGGCCTCCCGCCCTTATAGCCCAGGGCCCCCCGCCGGGGGCGGGGGCTGGGCGGGGCCTCCTCCCGTCTGTCCGCTCCCCATTGGCCCTCAGTTGCCGTGACGACGGCGGGGCCTGGGCCCCCAAGAGCCCGGGCAGCGGGCGAGGGGCGGCTCCCAGGCGTCAGTCGTGTCCGTCGGGCAGCAAGTCCCGGAGATAGGCGGGTCGCCTGGGTTCTAACGAGACTTAACCACCGTCCAGGCGTGGGACCTTGCGCAGGGGCCTGAACCGCTCCGGGCGTTGATTTCCCGGTCTGCAAAATGGGCACGACTCTGGGGCCCACCTCCCGGGCTGTGGGAGGATGGAGACAGTCGGTGGAAGGCGCGGGGGACGACGCGGGGCGTAACACGCGTGGTGCGAGGCGCACCCCTCGGTGCCGGGCTTCCGGGGACCAGAAACGCGGCACACCAAAAGCCTTAGAGCCCGGGCCCGCCCTGTGAGGAGAGAACCCCAGGCCCTGGCAGGCAGATGAGAAAACAGAGGCGCCGGAGGTGGGAAGGATGTCGCCTGCGCCCGGCCGCGGGGGCGGTGGCAGCACGTGAACCGGCCTTACCGCAGCTCCTCAACTGGGCGGCGGGGATCCCCCCACGCGTGAACCCAGCTGGGGAGATCCAGGGAGCCTCCCCCTCCCGCAGCGGCGCTGGCCGACCTGTTCCCCGCGCACTGGCGCGCGCGCGAGCCGCAGTTCCCCCACCCCGGCGGCCTGGAGCCCCAAACCGGCCTCGCCACCCTGAGTCATCGGGTCGGCGCTCCCCGCCCTGGTTCCCGGCCGACCCCTCCCCTCCGCGCTGTGCTCTGGGCCTCGGTCTCCCGAGGAAGGTCACGAGAACTGGCCCAACATTTGCGTACTTTGAAGCCATCTGGTGTTTTTTATTTTACTAAAAAAAAATCCTCAAGTTCTAAACAGATCTCCAGTCGTGTTGGAGAGCTAAACGAAGCTTCTTGCGTCTTTTCTAGGGCATTCTTGGTGTAATCTCACTTGAGCTTCACCCTGGCTCTTCAGGCCTTGGGGGGATAAAGTGGTTATTGTACCCATTTGCAGGTTGAGGAAACTGAGGCTCTGTGACAGTAAGGAAGGGGTGTGGTTGAGTCATCCTGCTGGGAAGTTGTGGAGCTGGTTCAGGAGCCACTGCATTTGCCTCTCCTGCTCCATCCACTCTGCAAGGTCCCCTTTATTTGCTCATTCCCTCATTCCTAAGCAGCTGCTTCCTTCGCCTCCTGGTTCTAGAGACTTAATGATGAGTGAGAACAATGCAGTCTGGAACCTCTTGGCACGCAGTGGTGGCAGGCAGACACTAGTCCACAGAGAGCAAGACAATCCCAGATGGGATACAGGAAGGGGAGGTGGGCTGGGCTGATGGGGAGGGTGCCAGGCGCTGCTTGGGGCTGGTGCAGGTCCATGCAGAGCAAGAGTAGGTTCCCAGAGGATTAATAGATTCGTGAAGTAAGATACAGCCACGTGCAAGGTCCTGTGGCTGAGAGTTAGAGCTGGAGTCTGGCAATCAAGTCGTCTGCCCCAGACCAGCCTCCACCCTCTGTAACAGGTGGGGACCGGATGATGTTATGAAGTCCTCTGCCAGCACCAAGACACCAGGAACTCTGGGGCCCTAGCAGGGGTCCAGCTCTGTCCCCCATCCTCCCTGGGGATTCACAACTTCCCAGTAGGGAGTGACATGAATGCGATGACCCCTGTGGAGGTATCTACAGCTGCTGCTGGTCCAGCAACCCCCCTGCTTTGGGGACCAGCTCCTGAGAGTCCTTTGTGAGAACAGTGGTCTGGGCCTGGCCACTGGATCCCCCTGCCCCTGGCATTGGTTCAAGGCTCAGCACATGACAGCCTGCTCAGGGACATGGGTGAAATCAGCAGAAAAGATGAGCTTGTGGTGCAGCTGGCTAGAGGGTATCCTGGGGATGTTGGGCACCCTCTTGTCACCTTTGGAGTTGGATGTGAAGAGGTTGCCTGAGAGCCAAGTGGTCCAGAGCAATGTGGATCCCTACAATGGAGAGAGACACATATTTTAGAGCCCCTGAAAGCCAGGATTTATCTCTGGAATTCCCAGTATTAGGGCTCAGTAAACTCTCATTTTCATTTGAGGTGTTCTGAAGTGATGTCATTTGCAACCAAATAGAGTCCTGACTTCTTCAACCTGCTGGAGCTGTATCTGAGGTCCAAGGGAGCAGTTAGGCATCTGGTGGCCCCAGCCCATAAGATTCTGCTGGGCCAGAGCCCCTTCTTGCCCTTGGCCTTCTCAGGGACCTGTCGTGAGGCAGCCCAGTGGGCCCTGGAGTTTGGACGGAGTAAGCAATCTACCCAAAGTCATACAGCCAGGAAGTGGGGTCTGGTCTGGATCAGCCCCTCTCTGAGAAAGGAAGATATGGGGCAATGCTAAGACATCTGCCCCAGCCTGGTACCATAACTGTGCTTCCAGGAGGTAAGCCCAGCAGGTGGAGCAGGGCCCTGAGCCTGCTCTCAGTGGGCCATGGGTGTCCAGTGCCCAGGCTGATCACCATGGTTGGTTCTGTTCCCACTTTCCAGGACTGACCTAGATCACCAGAGTGGGACCATGTGCTGGGATTGCAAAGAGAAGCCACAGACATGGCTTCTTCACCTGCACAGTTTTTTCATACCTCGAGTCAACTTTCACAGAGTTTGGAGATTTGCTCATTGATCTGGTTTCTCCCAAACAACCAAGGATCTGTTTCCTCCCCCTCCCCCCTACAGTCCAGCTGAGTCCCATGGCTGTCCTGGTAGATATGGAATGTGTCTGGAATCCCCCAGTCACAGGCCCTGTTCAGCTGCTTTTCCCTGTGACATTTTTGCTGAGGCCTGGGGAGGGTTATGGGGTCCATGGTATGAGAACTGCCCTCTAACTCCCATGGGAGTCTTGGCTGAGCTTTGACTACCTCCCGTGTCGTCATCAGGGTCCTGGTCACTAGCTCCCACCTGCCCCAGCTGGGCTGTGGCAACCGGGTGACAGGATGGGCCCCTGTTTCTACTGATCTTTGTCCCTCTCTGGGAGCAAATATGCCAGGCACAACTCGGTGTTGGCTCCTTGGCCCAGAGACCCAGTCCAACTCAGAGCTGTGGAGCACAGGGCTTCCAGGGCTTCAGCAGAGGGTCCTGGGAGCTGGGGGTGCAGGGCGCTGAAGCTTGCAGTTGGAGCCCTGCATTGGCTCACTGCGTCTGGTGGGTGGGGGTGAGATGCTATGGGGACCTTGAGTGGTGCCCACAGCAGGCACTGTGTGAGGAGCCCAGGCCAGAAACCCCAACGGTCATGACCTCATGGCTGGTCCTCAGCTCAGACCTGAGGGTGGGGAGAACAAGGAACCTAAGGCATGAGTCCAAACCTGGGCATGGGGCAGGAGGCCACCCGCATAGCCCCCTTCCCCTTCTCCCTCTCCTGGGAAGGGGTACATGGGGGCTGGGGAGGGGTACATGGGGTTGGTTCAGCTATAAAAGACCCGTGGCTAGTGACGGTCTGAGAGATTGGCCTGCAGCCAGGGTTGGAGGACGCCAGAGATAGAGAGCTGGAGAGGAAATTGAGGCCGGAATTCTTCCACAGAGGGAAGACACGGTGGAGGGAGGCCTCAGAAACACGCTGGGGCAGGGAAAGGGGGAGGGGTGTGTAGCTCAGTTTGGCCACTAGATGTCTCCACTCTAGCACCCGCACCCCCACCCCAGCACCTAGGCTGGAGAGGACCCCTCCACCCCCACCCCTGCTTTTAGCACAGGCTGGGGCTGCACGGATGTGACCTTCACCTTCTCTGGGAGCTCTTTGGGGCCATGGGCTTGTTCCACCTTCTTGCTGTCCCGTGAGGACTAAGGAGTCTGTCCCACAGCTGGCCTGTATTATTTTATTACTGTAAGTCAATTTAAACAAACATGGCTAGTTATATATCTTTATAACATTTTTATTTCAGAAGAAATACAAATTCATTTTAGGAGGCAAAGAATAAAATTAATTTTTAGGATTGACCACTGTCAACCTTTTACCCTCCCACTCTGCCCAAATGTTATTCTTTGCATATATAGTCATTATTGAAACAACAATATGGTTGCTCTGCAAATACTGTTTTATAGCCAGGGTTTGACCTCTGCATGGAGTGAATTTCAAATCATGTTGCGAAGCCCGGATCTGGCCCAGGGATACCACGCTGTCCCCAACACACCGCTGGGGCCATTGTACCCAGGAAAAGCAGGGCCTCGCTCTGCTCAGCCAGGAGAGGGTGGGGTCTGTGTAGGACAACCAGAAATCTGAGATTGGGTCAGGCATTGGCCGTGGAACTCCAGTGAGTGGAGGCCCACCCCTTGCAGGGCAAGCCCTGGAGGCTCATGACCAAGACACCGGGGCTATGAATGGCAAGAGCACACGTGGTCATGGTGCTATCAAAACTCAACCCACTCCAAGTGGCGTGTTCATTCGGTCTCCATTATTTCAAGTAAGCATCTCTTCAGGGACAAAAAGTTACCAGACACACTCTACACTCCCTGCCCTGGGGCCCCAGGCCCTCTGGCTACAGGAGGAGGTCTGGGGACAGAGGGGTGCAGTCAGGATGTTCACCATCTCCCCAAGGTGTGTTGTCTGTCTGGAGGCCTCCCCCACTGCTGCCCTTTCGGGTCTGGGAGTGGTTATGCTCTGGCTGACCCAGCCTTGCTGATCTCCTCCTAACCCTCACTGCCTGCAGGAAGTGCTCTATCACCCTGTCCAAGAGCACCCAGCCCAGAGTGACCAGCTGTCTGAGTTTTCCAGACTGTCCTGGATTGAGCACAGAAGTTTCCAAGTCCTAGGGAAGCCCTCAGTGCTGGCACACTGGGCTAGTCGGCCATGCTAGCTGTCACTGATTTCTGTGGAGCCTCTGAAACACCTTTCTTGTGTCCTTGCCTTCTTGTCTACTAAGCCAGGATTAAGATGGGCCCACGCTGTGCCCTGGACTTGCAGTTTCTCTTGACCAATTGGAAGAGCTGGTGATCCTAGCAATGGTTGCCTGGTGCTGAGCATGGCTGTGCCCCTAGAGGAGCTTGTCCCCCATCCTCCCCATCCCCCCTATAGTTTTCCTGCCGAGCCCTGTAGGCAGCCAAGCCAGCTACTCTGTACACAGCTGATGTCCTACAGATTCCTGGGGGGTGAAGGAGGGGACACTCTGAGGGTAGTAGTCAGTGTCCCCTCCAAGCTGTCCAATCTAGCAGGGACATTTGGCTGCAATTCTTAGAGTCCAGGGCAGGGACAGAGGGAGAAGTTTTGGGGTCCAGGACTCTTCTGGTGTCTATCTCCATCAGATATGGGGAGGGGGTACTTCTGGGTGGTTCATGCAGACAGGGCAGTAGAGGGATTCTGTGCAAGGGTCAGTCCTGCCCCTGAGGGTAGGGGTTTGTGCCCCAGAGCAAACCTGGAGCCACTCACACTTCATGCATGACCCCATATCCCTATTTGTTGGGGCACTGGGGACATGAGACCCTTCCAGACCCTGCCAGAAGGATTCTTTAGGGAGGGCCCATGGGCAACCGGGCATATGTGCAATGGTGTCTTCTGGTGTGACCAGCAGGCATGAAGACATCTGGACCTGAGAACACCACTCTGGATTCCTCTGTGGAATTATCCCTCTTCCACTCTCAGCATGCTGGGTCACATGGGGCTGGCCTGGCCGCTGGCTGCTGGGTGGGCACACAAGCCAGGCCTAGAAAATGAGGGTAACATACTCTGAACACAGGGATTGGGTCTTGGCTGGGCAAGGGGCCTAAATTAGGCCAATGAGAACCACTGGCATCCTGGACACTTTTCAGAAAAGAAATTTTTTTCTCCTGGAAGTTATAAAGTTATGAGAATGTAGAACTGGGGTATTCCTTGTTACCAGCT